AGAAAAATGGGAACACTGCAGCAGGGAACAAATGAACTGAGATTTATAACAGCCTCCTATTCCTCTATCAGCTTGGTCATTCTAGTCAGAGTCTCTCAATCTTGGCAATGTTAAGATGTGTGGATTTTAACTACCAGATTTCCTCTAACCAGCTAAGGAATTCTGGGAGTTGAAAACCACACATCTTAAAGCTGCCAAAATTGAAAAACACTGTTCTAGATAATCACATGTTCTGACATTGTCAAAAGGACTGTATCAGGGAAGGGAAGTCAAGGGAAGCTAATGAAGAACATGGCACAAATTCAGATTTTCCCCAATGAGATGTATGTCATGACATCACACACATAAAAGGGGTGGCGCTTGCATTGCAACAGTGCAATGCTTCTGAGCCTGCAGATATCTCTTGACCATCCCAACTTTAAAACCTACTGGATGCCAGAAGAGAGAAAATCATTTTCAGAGCAGAGCAGCGGTCTGTCTTTCATCTACAATCTAATAAATATATATAAAGAACCCATTTTTGACAGCACTAATGTATTTGCAATCCAATTTTCTCCTCTTCTTAACAACATTTTTCTAGAGGGTGCAAGCCAGAGAACCTGACCTTTTCTGCACCTTTAACTAAAGACTTATTAAAAAGAAGCTTCAGAAAGCATCCAAAGATCTAGACTGAGCCAAAAAGCAGAGGCCTGATGACAGCTGCTATTTCCTATTTAGGAATGCCACAGCTCCACAAAACTGGCTCTGGTGACCTCCATGAAAGATCCTGGATTGTGAAAATGGTTGGTTTGGCTCTCTTTTTTTTTTCCATGGGAAGAAGAAAAAGCAACAGCAGTACCTTTATTTTATGCATGAGGGGAACTGCCAGAGGCAGTTTCTTGCAAAGAGACGTTCCCCACCCCCCTCCCTGCTGGCCCCCCATGGCCTCTTCAGAAAGAAATGCAAGACACCAAGAACTACACAAAAGCATGATGGAGGTGACAGTGCATCCCAGGCAGTTGACAGAAGAGCTGTATGGGGACTCCACATTTCTGTCGAACCTGACAACACGCCAGCTGCTCTGAAGAGAGCCAAGGGAAGGGCGGGAAGAAGAGGCGACGTTACTTTTCAAGATTTGCTCTGGTGAACTGGGCCATTCCATTCAAGCTTGAGGCTGCACGACTTGGGAGCCCTCAGGTTTGGCCACACAGCTCCTCTGAAATGTGTAACAAGAGTAGCCAGGATGGAGCAACACCCAAGCAACTGTTAAGGCAATCACCTGTTGCAAGGACTATAGGTGGTCCTCAACTTACAATACATTCAAGCTTGAGGCTGCACGATTTGGGAGCCCTCAGGTTTGGCCACACAGCTCCTCTGAAATGTGTAACAAGAGTAGCCAGGATGGAGCAACACCCAAGCAACTGTTAAGACAATCACCTGTTGCAAGGACTATAGGTGGTCCTCAACTTACAATACATCGTTTAGTGACCGTTATAACCAGTGTTGGGATTCAGCCAGTTCGCACCACTTCAGCAGAACCGGTAGCTAATTTTTTGTTGCCCAGGCCCAGAATGGACTTCCGGAAGCGGCAGCCACACATAGAACTGGTTGTTCACATATTTGAATCCCACCACTGGTTATAACGGCACCGAACAAAGTGACTTACAACCATTTTTCACACTTATGACCATTGTGGCATCCTGATGATTACAGGATCAACAATGAGACACTTGGCAACTGACTCATATTTATGATAGTTGCTGTACCTGAGATCACCTTTTGTGGCCTTCTGAACAGCCAAGTCAATGGGGAAGCCAGATTCACTTAACAATCGTGTTACTAACGTAACAACTGCAGTGATTCTCTTAACAACTATAGCAACATGGAGCAAAACTCATTTAACAACTGTCTCACTTAGCCCCAGAAATTGTGGGCTCAATTGTGGTCATAAATCAAGGACTACCTATACAAAGCAATGAATCCGACACTGATTTGAATGTCTTCTACAAGTCAAGTTAAAATATTTTAATGCAACAGGCAATTTAAGATTCTCTATTTTAAAAACTAATTTGTTGAGATGTTTTTCCTACTTTGTTATTTTATTAGATTTGGACTTGCTATTAGTATTTTAACATATTTTTTCCTTCATATTGGCCAGGAGTAAGTTGCTATGAATTAAGGTATACAAATGCTTTTATTTTTTTTAAAAAATCTATATTTTTTTTAAAAAAAAATACTCAGCAGCTGTGTTCATATAACAAATTTAACTTGATTACTGAATTAATTATTCTGTCAGTTTATAGTACCTTAATATGTAAACTAAATAAACAGGGTGGATATGCATAACACACTAAGACATAATAAAGCAAACCAAATTTAAAAATAACCAACATATTCAAGTTGTATAAATGCAGTGACTCAAGCTTGCCTTCAGATGTTGTGGGTACTTCATCACTTGAGGTTTTTAAGAAGAAACTGGATAGCCACTTGTCTGAAATGAA